CACACACACACACACACAGGCTGCCTCCATGTCCAGCTCAGAGGGCAGGTCGGCCCCACCTGGCACACCTCTGGGTCCCCACATCCTGACTCCCTAAGACTTCAGCTTCAAGAAGGCACCTCCTATACTAGCCTGATCCAGGTGTGCCTCTGCCTGGTCACAGATCTCTGTACCATCAACAAGTAGACATGCTTGACCTAAGAATAACCTCTAGTTCCCCTCGTTCGTAAGCACAGACACAGGACACGTGAAAACCAATGCAGGATAGTTTTTCTGAATCCCCAGCCTCAGAAGCCTTCCCCGTAACCACTGTAAAAAACGAAACATTCTCACCCGCCAACATAACTAAAAAACAGATCATGGAGCTTCTCGCCGCCTCCTATGAGGACCTCCTTGCTCTAGTTTCCTAGTAATTAAAAAGCGACCGTGCTCTCTGTAAGAACTTACCGAGTGACTTCTTCCCACGTCAGTGCAGTTCAATCCCCCACTCCTGCTGGGTGTCCCATGTTCTGACCAAGGACAGAGCCAAGCCCCGCTACAGCCTCGCCCCCGACACCGCCAACCTGTTGCTTAAACACCTCCCTCCTTCCAGAGCAGCCAGCCTATTCGCTGGCAGAACACGGGCTCGGGCCTCGTGCTGATCAGCTGACCTGGGCGCACCTGCTGGCGCAGGCCCAGAAGGAATGGCAGCAGCACTACGTGGCCGTCGCCCAGGTGAGCTTCACCGCCATCACCTGCGGGGGCCAACAGCCTGGGAGGGCACGTACTGCACCTCAGCGCTGTCTGGGCTGCTGTCGGGCAGGTGGATGATGGGGGTGAAGTTCTTGTCAGCAGAGGTGTGACATGTGAAATGTGACACAGGACACAATACTACCCTTGGCAGAGTTAGGGGAGAGAACACGGACAGGGCAGGGAAGTGAAGGAAATAGAGAGGCCTCAGTGCATATTGATAATGAGGCTGAGGATGGAGTTCAAGGCTGTTGATAGAGCGTGGGGAGAATATGAGGAGTCTGACTTGTCTTCTGGGGACCGTATGTTGTACCTCCAGAACCCTGGTATCTATCATGGCATTTACTACACGTCATAAATGGGCTGGGATGTGAATTTCATACATGGGTTGGGGGATGCCCTCTCTGCCTCCCGTCAACACCACACCCCACCATGACCTTACTCCCCAAAGCCACCAGGCTCGGGACCAACCCCCCAATCATGAGCCAGACTTGAAACACTTTGGGGGTGGTGGGAGGGGTCCAGTCTGGCTTCTGAACCCTAGAATAGATGTGAGCCTCAGGAGTGGGGTGGGGTGGGCCTTGCTGGACCAGGAGGCCAAGTCAAGTTAGGGTCCAAGGATTCCAGCGGTATGAGCGCCACATGGGGTGCCCAGAGTGCAGTTAAAGTAACAGTCTGCCTAAGGGGTAGCTGGGCGAAGTAGGATTCCGAGTACACAAACACAGGAGCTTGTGTTCTGGGCGGACAGTAAAATGAGAAGGATTTTTAGCCTCTTTATTCTTTATCAGAATTTCAAAATTTCAAAGTTTCCCTTGTGCTTGGATAGTTTATTCCAGCTCTGTTTGATATCTGTCCTCTGTAACTGCAATGCCAATCAATACTGTAATAAAGAATGACATGCACTTAGGTAACTAGCAGAGGACAGTGGTCACCTGCATTTCCAACACCAGCTCATCAGGGGGATTTGCCTGCAGGACTTGGGGGCATGGGATTTGGGTAGCAAGTTACGTGGAGACCCGGGGAGGGATTACCCAGGAAGGACAACAGAGTGGCGGCACCAGGGGACACCAGGAGCCTAAAAAAAAAACGGTGGGGACAGAAGTGAAAGCAAAGGGGCCAACACGAAGGCAGCTGGGAAGGGGGACAGAGTTGGAAGCCGGCTATGCTTTGGAACAGCCCTGTCCGGGTGAACTCAGGCCCCTGGCTGCTGACCTGCCAAGGGTCTCACCGGCTATCCTACCAGCGAAGCCCCCAGCCCCGGTCGGCTTTCCTCTCTGGGTTTGCTTTACCAGTTGATTTGGCAGGATGCCCAGGCAAGTGGCTTCGATGAGAATGGATAGGAAAGGAACATGGCTCTCATGAGTGTGCTGGCCCTGTCTGGTGACGGGAACCCTCTCTGTTTCTCCTCCAGGAGCGACAGATGGTGAAGACCTTTCCTCACCTGCTCAACGTCAATGAGGACCCGCAGCTCACTGGGGTCCTCAAGTACTTCATTCAGGCTGGTACTCGCCTCTTTGATTTACTGCTCCTGCTTCTTGCCCCAGGACCATGTTTTTATTATTATTATTATTATTATTATTATTATTATTATNGATTTGTGAGAGACGAGTGAAAGGAAATAAACCAGAGGAGGTAGGGCTGGGGACTCAGGGCCCTGGTGAGCCTGTCAGTCTGTCACTTCAGTTCTGGACTGGGGAAGAGCATGGGCGTGAATCAATGGGGGTGCGAATCACGGGAGGGGCACGGATGCCACTCGTAATGGGGGTAGTTACCCGTCTCCCTATAGTTTCCTGCCAAGTAGCGTGGCCATTCACAGGTTTCTCCTTTTGTCACATAGGACATTGTTTTTTGCTAACAATAGATGAGATGAGCATGTAAGAGGCAACTCCCAAGGTTGGCAACCAGCCACCAGCTCTGCAGTTTCCCTGTGTTGGTTCTCATGTCTCCAGGCCCCATACACGGACTGGACTCTTTGGAGGCCTGATCATTCGTTTTCCTTCCCGGGGAGGGGCTACCATTGCCAGGTCCCTTCCCAGCTGCCCGGCCTGGGAAACAAGCCCACACAGTTAGCCGTGGCAGGAGGCTGTGGCCGAGCCACGTTCCTGCTCTCCAAGGCAGGCATTCGGATCCTGTGTCTCCTGACCATGTTGAGAAAGGGGAGGGTGTGGGGGAGGGAGTTTCTAGCCAGAGGTTGAAGCCGCCTGCAGCCACCACTCCTTCCCATTTGCACAGCAGACACTGACAGTCTGCCGCTGTAGAGCCCAGATGGGGGCTTGGAGTCTCGGGCCTGCGTGCCTCGCAGCTGGAGCCGGCCTGTGAAATAGGAAACCTATTTGCCTGCTCTGCTATGCCCCTCGTCAGGCCTCCAGGCTTGCGCGTCAGACAGACTCTGGCCCCACCAGCTATGGGACCTGAACCTCCCTAGCCGTTTTCCCTCACATACCAAAGGGGGTGCGAGGCCACATGTGAACCATTCCTGGCAAACCTCTACCTGCCGTGAGGATGCTGCTCAAACATGTTACTATGTCACCAAGTAATCGCCTCTCCTGGCCTTTTCTCCTGCCCTCTTCTCCGGAAAGGAGCCCCTTGCATTTTTGTGATAAATACCTGCATTCTCATTCTTGACGGTGCAGCCTCGATAGCGTTTTACACCACGAAATATTTTCTTCTAGCATCTGCACCACAAACTCAGATCTTTAGGTCAAATTTTGTCTTTAATAATATCTAGAATGTTCATTTTCTCTCTGCTTATCAGATGCAACTCTGTGGCTGGCCGTTTGTATGTGAGAGACTGTGTGATGCCGAGGAAAGAGAAAATGGTA